AGACCAATAATATCTGATATTTTGTCAAAATAATTTAATATATCATCTAATTCACATGCCATCCCGTTCTCATATGGATTTTGTTCATATAATTGATATGACAGATTACTGGAAACATCGACGACGGTTAATGTGTCTTTATACTTGCCTTTTAATAGTAATGCCATCGATTTGAAATATATGCCATTAATTTCTATTTGTTCTTGAATAGTTTTTTCTTCTAAGAGTTGAATAATACAAATAATAAGTTGAGGAATTGAATTAAATATTTGTGAATGTATTTTTAAAATGTTGTTTTCGACAACTGTGAATGAACACGACGAACAGGTATTATTTATCAGGACTGGTTTCTTCAAGACCGGTGTTGCGCGTATTTTATCAGGTGTTGTTTCAAACAATGGAATACCGTTGTTAGAGGAAGATAAATTAGCCATTTCTGAATTGCAATTTGGACATTCAAAAGAGGTGATGATGTTTGTTGTTAATAGATTTAATAATTGTCGATAATGTTGGTCATTTTCAGTACATAAGATAGCTCCGTTTAAGCTTTTATGTCTTGCTGGTCCACGATCAATATCAATCTAAAAATAAAGGAAATAACGAAGAAAAAAAAAGAAGCTTTTAGCAATAAGAATTCTTTTTTTCGCCTTAAGCTGTCGAGAATCCTAAGCAAATAGAAACAAGAAGCTTATATTTACCTTAAACCCACAAATTATTGCGTTTAAAAAATGGATGGTTGCTGGCATTTGGCTTAATATCAATAAGGAACTCTAACCATACAAGTTTGGAATATATTCTCCTTCTCCGTACGATTTTGATAATTCAGTTGTTTTCCAGTGTTTATTAGATCTTGTTGAAACGACTAATTTTCCACTTGAAGTTAATGATATAAAGGATGGTAAATAACAACACGATGACGATTGAGAACAAATATTTAATGGATGACTATGTTGATAAAGATGAATGAAGGAAGGTGGTTTCCGAGTTGATGATATATTTCTTTTTTGTTGTAAATGAACAAGTATAATTGTAGGCCACCGAAGAATGAACAGTTGCTTTTCCATGTTTGCCAGACATTGTTTACAATTAATGTCAGCCATACTAGAGAAAAAGAAATTTTGAAGTTGCTCTTGCAGATGATTTGCCATGTTAATGTTTGATAAAACAACAGAGGGATAAATTGTTAGACAACTTGAATAATTGTTGCACATTGTACACCGGATAGTTAAAATACAGACAACTTCACTACCAACCAACTTATTGGTAATAGGAACAATGGCACCAGGAATGATTTTGTTTAATAAATTGTTGCTGTTTACATGTTCTTTTAAATCAATCAGTATTGATGATAATACATCGTTGAACAAATGAATGCCCCTGTTGATTTTATTTGTGCTCTTAATGTTTGTTCCATTGATCATTTTGTAATTAATAAAATTTCATTTAAGAAATTGTTTAACTGTAATTGATGGTATTGTTTTAATACTCGACGAATGTATGGTAATGATAGTAATAGATTGATCGTTGTTGCTAACCACGAATAAATATCTCGATAATAATAAAAATCAACGAACTGGAAGCCAATGTTAATGGATGTAACAACAGTAACATCGTCGTTTAACCAAAACAGTGCACGTTCAGTAGCTGCTTGTTGATAATAGGGATGTTACAAATAAGATGAGTGAATAAAATGATCACTTTTGCGTTCTATGACTTTTTCAGACGACGTTATAGCCGAATGTTCTTTTTTTCGTATATATAGTAGAATAACCCTGGTATCGACGATTTGGTTTTTGTTGCCAATTTTCTTGAATTGATTTTGTTCGAAAAGCTTCTAATGATTTTGATTGTTTTAATAACGTGACTTCGGCGAAAGATGAGATGTTGTTTATCATGTTTTCAATAAGAATTCTTACGACGATATTAATACGTTCGCGCACAATACCACCTATAACGAAAAAGAAAAAACAGGTTAAATTATCGTCTAGAACAAACCACGCATGAAGATACCTTCAATGTAAGGCTACTGTATCGGCAAAGCGGAGGTAAATACTCGTTCGGAAAACTCGACAATAACCGTTCTTTGATGAATCAACGTTGATCATTGCAGAGTCGTCTGCTCGGTACCATAGTATGTTTGAAGCGTGAACAAATGAATAATAGTGCCCACTCTCAGCTGTACTTCCAGCATGTATCAAGACACAAAATAAACGATAATAACATTGGTTGATGGACGTTGTTTGTTGAGTTTCTTCGTTAAGATAATCATAAATATTTAGAAATTGTGGATATTGAACTAGATGAACTAATTTTTGAGATGCACAACCATATTGAAACCTTTTCAGTTGTAATAATAAAATATCGGGTTGTTGGTGTATTGTATAACGTTTTCTATTGTCGGTAAAAAAAAAGAATGGACTCGGATGTTTTTTGAATAACGTTTGACAGAAAAGTGGTAGATGCTTGAACTCTTTACTAATCGAAAGCTAGGATCTAACTGCATCTTTTCGCAACGAAAGTCTTTTTCAAAATCTTATAACTACTGTACCCCTTAAAACTACTCCACTTTATTTCAAATCAGTATAATGTTACATAAAGATGAACTGTTATCCATCTGTGTCATATTTTATCATGAAATAAGCACCAGGACGTTGAGTGCAGGAAAATCGGGAACGAAAAACATTTTCACTTCCTTGAGCAAATATACATGGAATCAGTGTTCATTCATCTTTATGTAACATACTGATTTGAAATAAAGTTGACCTAGATCGGGCGTCGAATTTGCTGGGAGTCCCAGAACTGGTCATTTCTCACACGTGGAAACCTCACAAATGACTCTAGACAAGGGTTATCGGCTACGTTGAGTCTCATGACAGTCTCTGTTTAACAATTTAAAAGCGTTTTTACATATGAACTATCAGAACCTGTACTCAATCTAAGCTGTTATAACTACTGTACTACTTTAAAACTACTTCACTTTATTTCAAATCAGTATGTTACATAAAGATGAATGAACACTGATTTCATGTATATTTGCTCAAGAAAGTGAAAATGTTTTTCGTTCCCGATTTTCCTGCACTCAACGTCCTGGTGCTTATTTCAT